TATATATATATAAATAAATAAATGAGTGACATTGCAGCCACTAAAAAAAAAATTAGAATTTGTATAGACAAGAGCTTTGCAGCTGTACTTAAAGAGATAGACATTTATCTCAGGAGTTGGTAGAGGCAAAACAGAGCTAAAATGACATGGAAACATGAATGTTTACAGTATGTTACTGGATGTGTAAACAGGCAACTGTTTGCTAACACGTTCACCACAACAACTTTAAGGCGACTGGCCAGTGGACATAGGGGAGCATTTAGCATCTAAAGATCCTGATATTTCTTTTGGGAGTTGGTACAGACTTTATTTTAACAGGTGGTCGGAAACACAACTCAAAAATAATGTGTTTAAGCAACTGTTTGCCAACACGTGTGTTGTATTTACAGCTTTTTCCACTGCCCCCAAATGGAAAACAGACAGCTCGTACTTTGCCCTCAAATCAGGTTTGTATCTTGGATTCTGTAATGGACTGAACAGAAGGTGTGCCGAGACACTATCTGAGCTACATAACATGTTCACGTAACAGACCTCGCTGGGCTCTGAAACACAGTGTGCCTTGCTTGACAGGGTCTGTACAGTGTGCCGCAGTCCAGGATTCACTAATAATGAAATCTGATAGTAACCGTGGCAACAAGCAATACAGGTCAGAAAGAAGATGGGATCAGAAGTCACACTGATGTGTAAATACACCCATAGAGACTCTAAACTCCATTTGCTTTGCTCCGGAGAAGTGGTTACATAACTTTATCTTGAGGAGACGTGGTGTCCACAGGTGCAGACTGAATAGATACAAGCACTGGTTTATTCCCTTGTGCATCAACGTCCTCGATAATTTGTCAGAAAGCTCATGTATTGCCAGACATTAAGTGACCAGACAGTCCAGTTTTACTGTCACACCTGTGTCATGAATGCATAATGTTTCATTGTGCATCTTTCGAAGCAAACGTTTCCCAAGAGACAGTGAGAGGAATCTTGAATAAATCTCATATAAAGTGGAAGGAAATGTCAACATGCTTGAATCAATCTATATCAAATAAAGTGAAGAGCATCTTATATATATAATAGTTAGTTAACGTTAACTAGGGCTGCACAGTTGATCGAAATCAAATATGGCCAAGTGCAATATCCAAATTTCAGAAGCTGCAGTTGTTTGAAGGTAAACAGCATTATAATGAAGTACTGTATTGCTGCAGAGATTCCCTGGTCTACAAATCTGGTTATACAGATGTAAAAAAAAACATATTTGTTTTGGACAGAGCCCAATAAATGTCACATCATGATTTTAATATTTTTTTTCAGTGAAAATGAAAATTGTGATGCAAAAATTATCATTCCCACTAATCGTGAATCATATCGCAATCAGTCAAAATAATCTTAATATGTTTTTACCATATCGTGCAGCCCTTTAATATCACATTAAAATGTATGTTCATATAACTGCAACTTCTCTGCCATGAAACTAGAAGCCTCAAAGCACTTATTTGACTTTAACGTTTAAAGCAGTAGTAGCAGTTTGCTGTGTGAGCCCACTGTGTCATGTCTTACTGGCATTGCCAAAATGTGTGCAGTCTTGTAATGAGTCAGTCATCAGTCTTATTTTGTCCATTTCTGAGGAAAACAAAAGTTATCATTGCTGACACCCTCAGCGCGGGAACTTGACACCTATCATCACAAATATGAAGATGGGACTCGGGTTGATGATTTGTATTTACAGTTTCCTCTTAGTAAGCATTGAATAATAGCGGATGTGGTCTGTTGTGCTGTGCCCCTCTTGGGAACATATTACCTGAACTTGGTTACCGGCAGCAGCCTCTGAATGCTGCTGTGGTATTCAGATGGAACACAGAGTGACATTTCTCTAACATGGGAATCGGCTTTCAGATTGGCGTACGTGCTGGTAGAAATGTTGAAAAATAGTAGCTGTGGTTTGGCATTGGTTGGGTTAGGACTTCAATAAATGTCATATTAATAAACAGTCAAAACGTCTTGCTTTCATAATCCCCCACAAAGCTTTTACTCTTTGTCAAATGTACTTGAAGGCTCGCCTCATTTACATAAATAGTAAACTGTTTGAAGACCTGATGAAAATGCATTGATTTAAATCAACAAATCAAAACTTTTTCCTTTTTACTGAAAAACATTACATTTTTGGAAATATGTCTTTGCAGATTAAATTTAATGACTGGAAATTCTTATATATAATTCCATTATATGTGACATTATCATATTATATAAATAACTGTATGTGTTATATGTTTACACTGCCTGGTTGAGGATGATAGATTGGTACTGAGAATAATAAAAATGCTTGCTTGGCAAAACAAAAATGCACCACAGGAAAATGCAGAGTAAGAAATTATATATAAGAATAAAGAAATAACAATGGAAAGGAAGTATTTACATCACTAGCAGTGTCTTTTGACAGGAACAGAAGGGTCACAAGGTCACACACTTAAGAACTAGATGCATTACTAATGGAAAAAATATTAATCGGATTTTCCTTGGGGGGGCGGGGTCAGAAAAGCATTTGTGATGGTGGCCTAAGAATAACAGAGGGGGAACCCCTGCTGAAATCAGTGCGAGTAATGACTGACTCATGCCACAAGAAGGGAAAAAGACCTGGCACCGCACATCTTCACATAGGTGTGGTTAATGACGGGATTTCAATATAAAAAGTGCAGTTTTTCACCTAATGCTGTTTTTCCACGCCATGGTGCGACTTGACTCTAGTTGCTCTCTTTTTGGTTTTCCATTGTCTAAAGTTAGGGATAGTACCTGGTACTTCTTTCGGTATAACCTCAGTCGAGGTTCCAAGCGAGCTGAGCAGATACTTTATGGTGGAGTAAAAACAACATGTGGCAGTCAATTGACGGAGTGCAGATGTTCCTCTGTTTGGTTGCTGATGAAAGGACCTCAAAAGGAAAGGATATCAAACTTAGTTCCTATTTATTTAGGTCACGTTAAAGATGATGTCGCAGCAGTTTCACATGGCATTGCTACAACAATCAACTAAGAATCCCAACTACATACTTGAGCCAAGCCGAGCTGTACAATGCAGTGGAAACACGGCATAAATGTAAAAAAACCAAGAAAGCCAAAGACTACTCATAACTAGTAATTGTTTATTTATAAAATTAATAACATTTAGTAATTCAATACTGCAAGTATTAGTTCATACTAAATTAAGAATTTGTAAAGCAGAATACTCAAGATAAAATCAAGCTTTAAAACAGTAACATGAAACACATGAATATGCAGTATCTCTGTGTACAGTATTATTATTTTCCTGTGATCAATTGGTTTTCATTTTTATCTCCCCATGTATTTTGGGATTGATTTTAATTTTAAACATTTGTATCTGCCCTGTGATTCCCAATTAGGCAAATATCGGCTGATACCGATGTTCGGTCAAAATAACGTGCATCCCTATTTCAAACGTTTTTTTAAATTGAGAAAACGATATCACCACATTGTAGGTAGTCACTGTTCTGGTGCTTTGGATCATATCACACGATCTTTATCGGGGATGGAGTTTGCCCAGTTGTCAGGGAATTGTAGGTGTTAAAATGTCCATTTGTATGTTTATATCTTTCCATAAAAATGATGCTGATCATAACTAGGATGCCAGTGAGGTTAGTTGTGATTACTATCTCTTAGACTGCAAACTTTTATCCAGAGCAACAGTGCAAACACAAAAATATTCTATTTACTGAAGCAACAAATTCTAACATCTGGAGTCACCATATATTTATATAAATCGACTAATCGTTGCAGCTTTTTTGTGGTTGACTGATCCAACAGATATTTGATTTTATAATGAGAAATGAACACTGTGTCCAGAACTGTTATGCAAGGGTGGGAAATATGGATAAAATCTGGTGTCACGTTTTATGAAATTCTATGCTGCAATACTGGTAAAATGAAATACCTGTAATATCAAGGTACTTCATCACATTGACAAAAGTGCTACAAATCCAATATCTCCATGAAACGAAACGAACGAAATGCATAGTAAAATGCTCACATTTGTGATGTATTTGTCCTTAGATTTTCTATTACTACATTTTACATTTCTGTAGGGTGGTGTTCTTTTCTTTGTTCATCCACATCACTGCTCATGCAAACTACTCCGTTCTTCCATTTGTTGGTAAATTAATCAGACATGGTGGGTTAGAGCAAATGTTTTGTGAAAATGACTATAGGTTGAATCACTTATTGTGTTAGTCAGTACACGACAGACAAAAGAAAAGAGAGTCTGGATGTTACTGGATGTAAGTGTTAAAATAGATTATGACTTTGAACTAGATACAACAAAATCACTAGTGGAAAATCACTAAATTAAGTTCCCTACGCCAATAATTTTAAATGTTAACCTTCAATCAGACGGCAGCCAAAACTAAAAAAAGAGCAGTCCTGATCTCAATATTAACTGAGTAGTCTTGCCTCCTCTAGGAATAATACACACACACACATTGACTTGAATCTTCCCCCTACCCACCCCGATTAGGTTGAGCCAGACACGGTTGCCAGGCAACCATCATTCATGGACTGGCAGTAAATGAATGTTAGTATGAGAATATAAAAGCGAGGTAGAGAGAAGGGGAGAGAGAGAGAGAAAAGGTAGGGCTGAGAGATGGAAAATAAGACCCTTCAGGCCTCTAAAATAATTATCTCCACTGTTACAGTTAACAGACAAGTTGGTCACAATCAAAAGGACCAAAAATTAATTATGTAATTAAAAAGCAGTCTGTGTTATGGTGTTTTATAGTCATTCTAGTTCAACTACATTCGAGGTTGAGAGCTTATTATGAGGTTTTCAAACTGACACTTAATATTACAGCAGGTAGATTTAATATGGAGGAGACAGCAGACAGAAAGATCAAGAGTGGGAGGTGAGAAAGTTTCATTCTTAGTAAAATGAGAAATCTTTATTACAGATACTGACACATATATACCTCTGTTAGCCCACTGAATACTCAGTTTCTATGGCAGTTGAAGTAACTCAGTCTGAGGTGAAGCTTTCATTTCTTTAATGTATTACACAGTCAGCCACATCTGAATGTCACAGCTAAAAGCAAGACTTTCACTTTACTGTGAAATGAAGACTTAAAATATGAGGAAAATGTCACATCGACCAGCAGCCGCGATTCAAATAACACTGCCTCGGGCGATATCCTATTTCACTTAGTTAAACTGAATCAAATATGACAGAATATAGTTAATAAACATCAGCTGGCAGTCAGATATTCAGACTTCCTGAGATCAGTTTTTTTCCAATAAGTTAAATATCTTTGAGCAGGACACTCTAAAATATGTCTTTTGAGTATCAACACAATCCAAGGTGACAAGCAAAGTGGAGCAGCAGTTGGTCTGCTTGAATTCACCTCAGTTTTAATGACTTCACTGGTGAAAGGTTTTTGCAGTGATAAAATGTCTAAATCACTCCTACAACATCATGTACTTACTTACAGAATATTTCCAAATATTGCTTAACACGGTCTCTAGCAGCGCTTTTAAACTACAAGGAGGGAGACAGCACAACAGAAGTGGATTAGGGTTTTTTTATCCACATTTTGATAGTCTGGAGTATCATCCTTGAGCTGATCTTTGACATCACATGGTAGGGCTGTTGTGCCAGTTAAAGTGTGAAATAGGGTGTTATTGGAAAACAAGAAGTTTCCAAGGATAAATAAATATGGTAAATCCATGAAGGAGTGCTCCCTTTGGAATGACACCAGACAAACATACTGAACAATTTCTTTTCTGCTATGGCACTGGAGTCATTTCTCAAGCACTTTAAATTTATTCCTTAAATCTGCAGTCTGTAATCTGTCCTCTGCACTGCATCTGTATTTCTTGCCTTCTATTTTTTGCCTATTTCAATTTGTTCTCCTCCTTTAATAAAAACACTTAAGTTAACTTTAGAGAACATCAACCTATTATTCCCGTGTCAAAGTACATTCTCATCAACTTTCTGAGCAAAGAGTTAAACATTTTGGGACTGGGAAAAGTTTAGAGTTTTGAATAAATTATGAAAAGACAAATTAATGAAGGACAGATTTGCAAAGCAGAGCGAGAGGAATGCAAAATGTATTTATTTTCAAAAGTTTAGTGCTTTTAAACTATTGTTTTACATTCAAAATGGTTAAATGAAGATACCAATTATTTATTTTTGCAGATATATCAATTTGTACTACAAGATTGGGAAAGATTTGTGTTTTCTACTATGCAGAATCTTGAAGCTAAAACACAGCCTTAGGGCGTTTTCACACATAAAATCCGGACCAAGGTCCGACCAAGGGTTGCGTACCAAGTTCGTGTTGTACATTGTAGGTACATGTATGCCCGTTGATGTTCGGGTGTGGCACATAGTAATTTTGCTTACACACTAAAAAGATACTTTCACAGAAACGGTTTACCCTTACGGCGCGTCGTCACCACGTGACGTGTTTGCGTCGTCCCTGTTGGATTGGTGAGTAGACGGGGCGTGCGGGTCGGGGGGTGGTCTGACGTGCTGGTGTGGTCATGTTGGCGTAGGTCTTTATGCCTGATATGAAATGATAGAGTAGTGTGATGGAGCAATCATCCCGATTGTGGGTTTTATTATGGTATTAACTGCCAGCGAGCAGACAACTCGCGAGCACCAACTGGCAAGCACAGGATACTCGGCGAAAAATGTACGTTCTCTAGTTAAAAGGGTAGAGGTATCGTTGCGCGAGCAGGAAAGAGATTAAAATGGAAGCTATGAATGATGTTTAAAAAATTAAATGTAAACATGTAATTGCTTCCTCTCCCCACTACCTTCCGAGCGACTAATTTTTGGCTGGTGTTCTGGCGGGTTTCTTCCGTTGTTGTCGACTTGCATATAGTTGTATCGTTAAGCCGAGAGCAAGTTATACCATAACCATGATATATAAAGAGCCTAAATGTCAT